GGGGGGAATAAAAGGAAACAAGGAAAACAGAACACAAGATATTTGAACGACGTCGTATTATAAAACAGAAGACAACGATACCGTTTCTAATTTATCAAAAAACCCTAGGCAACAAAAAACGCTAAAATCGTCTGCTAAATCTCACGATTCAGCCACAATTTTCCGTCGTCAAACAAAGCTAAATTATTCAGATGAGTGAGAGTTCTCGTCCCTGCAAAAATTGTCACAAGAGGACTATAGCTAAAGATGAAGAAACATGGAATCTCGTCTGCAAATCATGTGGAATAGTCCAAGATTTCGATAATTACGACCCTCAAATTGGTGGAATAACTGGTGCAGTTGGAACTTACGTACGTCACGGATCTGCTGGTTCAGGTTCTGTTTATAATTACAAAGAATCCAAAGATTATCATGCCAAAATTTTAATTGATGATTTAATGTCCCAATTAGGATTGTCCAATAAATCCAGTGATGTTAGAGGAATGTTGTATGAGATTACTGAAGGTGAATTTGGTCAAGGTAGATGGTTTGAAGTATGTATTGGTGCATGTGCTTATGTTTTAATGAGGAAAGATAGTAAGCCTATTAGTATTGTTAAAGTTGCTGAGATAGTGAAATGTGATATTTATGAATTAGGTCGAATGGTTTATAGGGTTGTCGATTTTCTTGATATAAAGTTGCCTGAATTTGATATTATTAATTCTTTCGAGCATTATATTAAAGAAGCCCCGATTTTTAGTGGGGTTGAGGAGGATATTAAAGGAAGGATGTTGAAACAAGGTGTGTTTTTGGTGCAATGTTTGGTTAAGTGGTACGTGACGACGGGGAGGAGACCGTTGCCCGTAGTGGCAGCGGTTTTGGTGTTTGCTGCGCAGTTGAATCAAGTTGACTTGACGATTGAGGATGTCGCGGAGGAGTTACAAGTGGCGGTTGTTACTTGTAAGTTGAGGTATAAGGAGCTTTTGGAAAGGCTTGTGAAGGTTGCTCGAGGTTTGCCGTGGGGTGAGGATGTTACGGTTAAGAATATTATGAAGCACGCGCCGTTTGTTATTCAATACATGGAGTTGAAGTCAATGTCGAAGAATAGTGATAAAAGGAAGAGTTTTAACGATGTTGGAGTTGATCTTGATTACCTGATTGATGATTTTTTGAGCAATGGAAATGTTGTTGACATAAAAAGTGATTTGCAATATTTTCAGATGGACCCGAGTTTGAGTATTGAAATTCCGAATAGATTCCAGATTTCCCAAGAGTGTTTGGCGATGATTTATACAAAGATTAAGAATCAAGTTTCTGTACTGGAGTCTGCAAATAGCAGATATAGTAAAGAAATGGAAACGAAGAGTACCTATGACTGGTGGCAGGGCGAATCGGAAATGAGCAAAAAGCTTTTAGTGAAGCAAATACTGGAGAAGGATGTGGGATTGACTACTACGCCTCCTTCGTTTGATAGAGGTTGCTTGGCAAATGAAAGGAGAAAAGCAAAAATAAAGGCTGCAAAGCGTCGAATCCATAAGACAATGTATCCTTCGGATGCTGGTTCGATTGATAAGATTGAACAATGTCCCGTTGAGCATGTAAATGGTGGAAAGAAAAGGAGAAGGAAAATGAAAGTTGATGTTGATTGGGAAGATTTCATTATTGAAACCCTTCTCCTTCATCAGGTAGAAGAAGAGGAGATAGAGAAGGGGTATTATAAAGCGCTGTTGGACTTGCATGTTTTCAACTATTGAAGATATAACTGGTCAGTTTAGACCATAATTTTGATTTATGTAAACAATATTCACAGACAAAAAACTTGACCTTTTTTTTTGACTGATTCCGCGAGAAAATAGGAGGTATTTTTGTTAAACTTTTCGCTCTGTAAATTTGCATGAGTTCCATATTTTGATATAAAAGGGGGAAGTATAGTAGTTGAATATAAATGAACAAATTATGTTTCTTCTGTGTCTATCTTGATCTTCTGCTCTCTTAACTCCATCATGTCATATATGCCGTATATTTTCTTTGTATTCTCTGTATATGTTCTGACTTTAATAACTCTGGCTTTTCCTTTCTTTCCTGGGAAGAGAAGTTCTGTTTCTCCCAGTAAACTATTGGACATTTGTATAAAGACAATCTTGGCTTTTTAATGCTTCTATAAGAGAAAGAGCTAAGACGGGGATCTTTGATTTACTAAAGGAAGCAAATGCTGAATTGTTCATCACTATATGCTGAATTTTTATACACCCCACCCTAGTTCGTGTATAGATAAGTATCTTCCGACTAACTTGTGCAGCATTGAATAAATGTGTCAATACTTGAATTATCTAAAGCTTGAGCTAGTTCTGATTGATGGTTGAAACCATCTTTCCTACTTTGATTTGGGAAATTGTCAAATAATTGACTGGCACTTTTGATAACTAAGAAATAAGTTTACTCCTGATATCTAAATATGTTACTGTTATAAAAACTACAGTAACATTTCTGTACTTGAATGACACCGGGTTTTGGGAGTGTATTTGTATCCGTATTTGTGGGATTTTCTATTAAATCTAAATATTATGTTTTCAAACTTAAAAGATTATAGTGTTTTATTGAGGTTATCGGCTTGCCTAGTATTGAGATAGACGCCATCACGACTTGCGAATTTTGGATCGTGACAAAAATATTTACATAACATAGAAGGTAAGAGTCTTATAACTCAAACTAGTACCTTCTCACTTACTGGAATTTATACAAATGTGCGTGTCAACTCTTCAAATCCTACTTAGTCTAGTTAGATGTATGCGTCAATAAACATAAATAAACATTGGTGGTAACACTTAATTATTAAAATAATACGTAACATGGAGGAGTTGCTAAAGTATTCTTTTCTTGTCCTTTTCTTCTTTTTAAAAAAGAAAAAGTCAATTGTGTTAGATTATAGAATAATTGATTAGTCTTGTAAGCTGCCAGCTATTTATTGATCTAATGGTTCACGAATTGCTGGAATTCGAGAAAGTAGAATATTTTTTGTTACGAATATCTAACCAAAATGCCGCCACTTAATTCGGCTAACATACAACTAAATCCTTGCCAAGGAGAGAGAGTGCAAGATCAACGTCAACAACAACAACCCAGTATAATCTCATAAGTGGGGTCTGGGGAGGGTAGTGTGTACGCAGACCTTACCCCTACCCTGGGTAGAGAGGCTGTTTCCGATAGACCCTCGGCTCCCTCCCTCCAAGAACTCTCCACCTTATTCTTGGGGTGACTCGAACAAAAGATTGAAAGTGGAGGGTGCTTACGACTAGAGCAACCCACTCTTATTTAGAGAGTGCAAAGATCGAGATCTCTAAATTATTTAGAAATCTTTTTTCAAGTCTAGCTAGCTCATTCATTAGTGACTTGCAATCAAATTATTTTTGTTTTACTTTCATTCCTGAAGATATATACTCATAATGAGTTAAGAAAATATATCGATGGATCTATCATGTCTAATTCACTAATTTGTGGGAAGATACTGAATTTTTATATCTAAAAAAAAATTTCGAAGGATCTCGGAATTGTTATTTTTTAAAAGATAGAGAATTACTAATACATCAGAATCGATAGAGATTTTCCAACGGAGCATTTCAAGCTTTTTAGGAAATTTCAATCCATGGACAACTCTGCTCGAGTTGCTAAAGAATTTTGAAGCATTTTTGCAAAACCAAATAGCCATTCTTTGTAGTGGAATTGAAAGCACCATTGTTATTAAGAATTCAGAGTACAATTAAGTTGTCTTTAACCAAAAGTGCCAAAAGACAAACAGAGAACAAAATAATAATAGGTACAAGAATATTGCGACTATAATAACTTATCTTCACAAGTTAGACTAGTTGTTTTTCGTATACACTAAGGGATCGTTTGGTTGCCGGTTAGAGTTATGCAGGTATTAATTATATATATATTAGTTATGCAGGTATTAGTTATGTATGTATTAGTTATGCAGGAATAAGTAGTGCATGAATTAGTTATGCATGTATTAATTATGTAGGGATAAGTTATGTAAGGTTGATTTATGTTGGGATTAGTTATGCAATAGTTATGCAATAGTTATATAAGGATTAGTAATATAAATGTAATGTGAGTGTTATTTATTATTACTTTACTTTATTTTATTAAAATTGTTAGTATAGTTTAGATATATATATTTTAAACAAAAAAAATACAAGTTTGAATAAAGGGTATTCTTGTCATTTTGTGTTTTAATACTAATACATGTATAAGTTATTCCACTTTCTACCTTGCATAAATAATACATAAAATCCCTCATAACTTATACATGTATTAGTTATGCGGAAAAGAAAAATATGAATCAAACATTGTATTAGCAATGCTACATTTTATGTGGAAAAGAGAAAATAACTTATGGTAGCTTCTATGAGGAGATTATTTTTTCCTCTTCTTTTAACCAAAGAATGTATAAAGTTATCCTAATTTTAATACATGGATAACACCTCTCAAACCGACTACCAAACGACCCCTAAACTGTTAATGTTCAATTAATTAGTACTCTTATAGCCAGTAATTCAAGCAAGTAATTTGCATATAACTCAAGATGTTATGGATAGACTAATAGTCAAACACTAATTACTGTTCAAAAGTGCTTTTCAAATTAATTAACCAAACACAAATTGATTCTCATCAAAAGTACTTTTTTGAAAAACACTTCTAAAAATAATCAAATTTTAGAAGTTTGGCCAAACAGATTAGAACTCAAGCAAGTAATTTGCATGGCCAAGTAATTTATCAAAAAAAATCTAAAAATTAATTCGATACGAACGGTTCGGTCGATTTTAAATATCCATTTACAACTTACTAACAATGAGCATAATGTTTAATTTTTGTCTTTAAACTGTAAAGAGAGGAGTCCTTTTATTCACGTGTGAAAATGTCATTGTCTATTCCTTATGATAATTTAGAGCAATGACACTCATATTTTTCAGAATTGGGATCCAAGTCAAACTCTCACCACATCAAGGCGAATTTATTTAAATTTAAAAAAAACTCAAGTAACTCACTCCCAAATAATTCATACATATAGTTTAAAGATAGTATTTTTTTAGTCCCACAACTTTTTTAATGAATTTTATTTTTTTAAAAGATATTTCTTCTGTAGCAATGGCAACTTTACATATACTCTGTACATGGACGTTTGCGATATTATCCCATTTTGACTAGCAATAGCAATAGCAACAGCAACAGCAAGTTGTTTGATATTTCTATTCCATTTTGATTAAACTTATCCCAGTTCCAAAATCAAAACTCCTAATGTTCTCTATATACATAGCCTTTTTTTCAATTTTCATCGGTTTTCTCCTTTACTTCATCCACCTCCGAAGGAAGGCGGTGCCGGAAAATGTTCACCGGAAACTTCCACCGGGACCACGAAGTCTTCCGATAATCGGCAATCTCCACATTCTAGGTACCCTACCTCATCGTACCCTATACGATCTATCCAAAAAATACGGTCCAATAATGTTCCTAAAGCTCGGAAATGTTCCAACGGTGGTGGTTTCATCGCCGGAAACCGCCGAGCTAATACTCAAGACACACGACGCCGTTTTCGCCAGCCGCCCAAAGCTTAAGGCGGTGGAGTACGTAAGCGACGGTGCTAAGGGTTTGGCTTTTGCTCCGTACGGTCCACAATGGTGTAATGCTCGTAAATTCTGCACACAAGAGCTGCTCACGGGGGAGAAAATTGAGTCTTTTGCTGGGATGAGGAAAGAGGAAATTGGGGTTTTGGTGCGGCGACTGAAGGTGGCAGCTGTTGGCGGTGAGGTGGTGGAACTTGGAGAGAAGGTTGGGGAATTGATTGCGAATATAACGTATAGAATGTTATTTGGGGATTTTCGCAATAGCGATAGATTTGATTTGAAGAACATTGTACAGGAAATGGTGCGATTGGCTGGAGCATTTAATATTGCTGATTATGTGCCTTTTCTTGAGCCATTTGATATTCAGGTATTGTTCTTATCTAGTACTAATACTGTTATTGGGCTTAATTTGCTTGTCTCAGTTGGATTTGATACCATTAAAAGGACAGAATTTGAACATATGATTGTTCGTATTGTTCAAACATGTAGAAACAAACAGCAACAACAACGAACCCGGTGTATTCCCATAAATGGGGTTTGGGGAGGGTAGTGTGTAGGCAGACATTACCCCTACCTTATAAAGATAGAGAGTTTGTTTTCGATAGACCATCGGCTCAAGGAACAGTGGAGATAAGGCAATAAGTAGCAAATAATAATAACAACAATATATTAAGGTAACGGGCAAGAATAACACAACATGTAATAGTAAAGAAACATGAATAAGATAACACAAAAATAGTCCTAGTACTACCAGTAAGCCTAGGAAGAACGCACTACTATCTGTCAACTTACAATCCTAATATTCGACCTCTACGCCTTTCTATCGTGGGTCATATACTCGGTACATGTCCTGTCTAACTACTTCTCCTCAATACTTCTTAGGCCTACCCCTTCCCTTCCTTAGACCCGCAATGTTCAAACATATAGAAAATATATCCAAAATGTATATGGTTCAAAAGGTAAAGTACAAAGTCGATTAACTATGAGCATAACAATAGATTTTCCGAATAACATTTATGTTATCAAAGTTTTTAAGTAGAGAAAAATACAGACGCTATAATTATATGTTTAAAAGAAAACTTAAATATACTATGTTCTAGCGTATAAAATCCCAGACCCAAAAGAACGCAATGCATTTTTACTTTTTTTTAAGGTGTAGGGGGCATGATTAGTCAAGGGTACGTGTGAGGAACGTCTCAGCATATTCTTTTTCATTCTTTTTTTTGCGTCAGATTGGATTTAAGTAGTAGTCAATATAACATGCTATTTACATTCTACCAATGCTATGTGGTATCAAATTTGATATTCAACATTTACTTACACACAATTTATGCTTTTGATTATTCGA